AGATCAGTCTTAACCTCGTGAAAATCGCTCCCTTCAAGTTTGGTGCCTCTGACTGACCCCATTGGCATTTTGTGCTTTTTTTCACTGCCCCCCCCCCCCATCCTCCATCTCAACGGAGCCTCTTTCTTGCCCCGTCTCTGTCTTCCGTTGGTCTCTGCCTTCCATCTCCCATCTTGCCCTTTCCTAAGACACGATCTCCATGACTTTCCCAATTGCTCCTCCTCTGCCTGTGTTGCTGTTCTCTCTCCCCGTGCCTCTGTCCCCCACCCATCTCCCCATTGTCCGTCTGCTTCCCTCTGAATCTCTGGGTCCCTGTCACTCAGTCTGTCCCCCTCTCTCTCTGTCCCTATGCCCTTCCCTCTGGGTCTCTCTCCACCACCCCCATCTCGGTTCTCTTTCTCAGGCTCCCTCTCTTCCTGCTCATCTCCGATCCTGTGCCCTTGTCTTTGCCCAGGCTCTGCCCCCACACTCCCTCCTGTCAGTCTCTGCCCCCCAGCCTGCTCCCCAGACCCCACGGGGAGTGAGGGTGGGGGAAATACCGGCTCTCGGGGAAGAGTGTGCGAGTGTTTCTTTGGGGAGGAAGGGAGGGAGGTTGGGCCTGGGGCGGAGCCTCTTGGCCTCAGATTAGGCAGTGACTTTGACCGAAGTTAAGGCACCTTAAGCCCCCTGTCTCCTTTATATGGAAACATTAAGCTGCTCTCCTGGGGCAGGTCGGGGGGGAGGGGGGGAGGACTTGAGGCTCCCGAGCCTTTCCCTTGGGCCTGCTCTTCGGGGCAGGGGGTCGCCCTGAGTCCGAGTAGCATCCACCCATGGGAGCTGGGCCGTGGGTGCAGACAGGAGGGGAAGCCCCTGCCCCGTCTGCTCTGGGAAACGGACACGGTCGTGTCGGCCTTGGGCTGAGTGTGGGTCTCGATTTACTTGGGAGGCAGAGTCCTGGGTTGGAAAGGCTCAGAACCCAAACCGGCACCCACCCTCACACTACCTGGGTCCGGCCGGGTCTCAGCCCGTTCCCCACCCCGTGGCCCAGAGCAGTGACCCTGACCTCCCAGCATCCTGAACAGAAGGTGAGCGGTGGGGTCCGGTGGAGCCCAGTGGGGGGGCGGGGACATCCAAGGAGCTCATCCTGCGGCCCAGCACGTGGCAGGTGCTCAGACCTGCCTATGATGAGGGGTCCGTGCTCTGAGGCTCCGGCTTCGGCACCCAAGGGCCCAGGTGGGAGGGACCTGAGCCAAGGGACGGACCCGTGGCTGTTGCCTGAGAAAAGCAAAGTCCCCAGGGTTGTGGGTAGAGACAGGTGAGTGGGTGTGAGGAGGCCCCGGCTGGGGTGGGTGCTGGGTCGGTGGGGGGCCAGTTCGCCTGCCCCGACCCTGTCATCTGTGGCACTCAGTACATCGTGGGGACTTCCAGGCAGGGGAGGACTACAAATGTCTTGGTCAGAACCTGGATCCTGACCTTAAACTGCCTCTTCAGGGACTAGCCTCAGTTTCCCGTTTTTGGCAAACCATCTCTTCACAGCCAGAGTAATGATGGGTGAAGGCGGAGTTGGGATACAGCCTGGATGCTGGACGCAGCCAGGCCCAGGGCACCCACCTGAGACTCCGCTCTGCCTCTGGAATGGGTGAAATGAAGCCCAGGTGCAGGGCTGTCCAGGTGGTCATGGGCAGCAGGTGCAGAGCTGGAGGCCCAGGGGAGGGAGGAGGACCCTTTGATACTGAACTTGACATTGACTGACAGCCCTCTCTTCAAACTGAGTGCCCCCAGTCCCGCCCGGGAGCCCATCAGGATCCCAGAGCCTGGCACGGGCACATCATATGTCATATGCATGTGCTTGGTACATACTGATGGAACCGATCTGCCAAATATTTCACCCCTGGTCCATAGAGGTCCCTGCCACCAGCGTGCCAGATGTTACCCTGCAGCTGCTGGAGGGTGATGAGGTCGGCAGGTCCGTGCCCAGCCCCTTCCCCCCTCCTCTCCACACTGTCTAGCTCAGCGGTTCTCAACCTGTGGGTCGAGAACAATGAAAATACATCCTGCAGATCAGATATTTACATTACGATTCATAACAGTAGCAACATTACAGTGATGAAGTAGCAACGAAAATAATTTTATGGTTGGGGGTCCCCACAACATGAGGAACTGTATTAAAGAGTCGCGACATTAGGAAGGTTGAGGACCACTGGTCTAGCTGATGAGATTCTCTCCATTTCACAGATGAGGAAACTGAGGCTCAGAAAGGGATGTGACTCACCACCAGTCCTCCAGCTAGTAACTGGCAGAGCCGGATTCATTCAAAAGCCCAAGATCTTTCTTCTGGATCCTCCTTCCTTTCAAGGCGGTGGGCTTTTGTCCCCATCCCACTGATGAGTAAACGGAGGCTCCAGGAAAGGAAGTCAGTTGTCTCAGGGCACATAGTGGGCCAGCAACTGAGCCAGGATTGGGCCCTGGGTCTCTATGACTGGAAGCCCTTCCTGACCTTGATAAAGAAGCCCAGTTTCCCCATTTTACAGCTGAGGAAACTGAGGCTCACAAAGACTTGCCCAAGGTCTGAGAGTCGGGGGGAGCCTGGGTTTGTTTTGTGTGTATGTGTGTTTTTATAACAGCTTCATTGAAATATAATTCACATACCATACAACTCGCACATTAAAGTGTACAATTCCAGGGTTTTTAGTACATTCACAGAGTTGTGTAATCATTACCACAATGGATTTTAGAACATTTTTAAAAATATATTTTTATTGATTTAAAAGGAGAGAGAGAAATATCAATGATGAGAATCATTGATTGGCTGCCTCCTGCACGCCCCCCACTGGGGATTGAGCCTGCAACCCGGGCATGTGCCCTGACCAGAATCAAACCTGGGACCCTTCAGTCTGCAGGCCAACGCTCTATCCACTGAGCCAAACCAGCCAGGGTCAATTTTAGAACATTTTTATCTCCCCAATAAGAAATGCCGTGCCCTAACTGGTTTGGCTCAGTGGATAGAGCGTCTGCCTGCGGACACAAGGGTCCCAGGTTCGATTCCGGTCAAGGGCATGTACCTTGGTTGCGGGCACATCCCCAGCAGGGGGTGTGTAAGAGGCAGCTGATCCATGTTTCTAACTCTATCCCTCTCCCTTCCTCTCTGTAAAAAATCAATAAAATATTTTTTTTTTAAAAGAAATGCCGTGTCCTCTGGCTATTACTGCCCAATCCTTCCATCTCCACAATCCTAGGCGTGACTAGACTACTTTCTCAATTTGCCCATTCTGAACATTTCATTGTAAATGCAAGTATAAAAGATGTGGTCTTACCCTAGCCCAGCGGTTCTCAACCTGTGGGTCGCGACCCCTTTGGGGGTCGAACGACCCTTTCACAGGGGTCGCCTAAGACCATGGGAAAACACACATATAGCCAGAACCGGTTTGGCTCAGTGGATAGAGCGTTGGCCTGTGGACTGAAAGGTCCCAGGTTCGATTCCGGTCAAGGGCATGTACCTGGGTTGCGGGCACATCCCCAGTGGGAGGTGTGCAGGAGGCAGCTGATCGATGTTTCTCTCTCATCGATGTTTCTAACTCTCTATCTCTCTCCCTTCCTCTCTGTAAAAAATCAATAAAATATATTAAAAAAAAAAAAAAAAAAAAAAAAAAAAAAAAAAAAGAAAACACACATATAATTACATATTGTTTTTGTGATTAATCACTATGCTTTAATTATGTTCAATTTGTAACAATGAAAATACATCCTGCATATCAGATATTTACGATTCATAACAGTAGCAAAATTACAGTTATGAAGTAGCAACGAAAATAATTATATGGTTGGGGGTCACCACAACATGAGGAACTGTATTAAAGGGTCGCGGCATTAGGAAGGTTGAGAACCACTGCCCTAACCAGTTTGGCTCAGTGGATAGAGTGTCAGTCCTTGGACTGACGGGTCCCTGGTTCGGTTTTGGTCAAGGGCATGTACCTAGGTTGCAGGCTCAATGCCCAGTAGGGGACGTGCAGGAGGCAGCCAATCAATGATTCTCTTCATTGATGTTTCCCTCTCTCAAATCAATAAAAAAAACTTATAAAAAATATATGGTCTTTTGTGATTGGCTTTTTTCACTTCACATAATGTTTTCAAGGTTCAACCATGTTATAGCGTGTGTCTACTTTTATTTTTTTTCACTATTGGGTAGTATGTATTCCATTGTGTGGAATACCACATTTTATTATCCACTTATCAACTGATGGCCATTTGGGTAGTTTCCAGCTTTTGTCTCTAGTGAATAGTGCTGCTATGACATTTGTGTACAAGTGTTGTGTGGACACTTTTATTTCTCTTGGGACATACCTAGGAGTGGTGTTGCTGGATCATATGGCAACTCTATGTTTAATCATTTAAGGAACTGCTGGACGCTTGAGGGTGCCAATTTCTCCCCATCCTTTTCAACACGTATTTTCTGGGGTTTTTGTGTGGTTTATTATTAAGCCATCCTAAGTAGGTGTGAAGTGGTATCTCATTGTGGTTTTCATTAGCATCCCTGATGGCTGATGCCAATATTTTCCTGTGTTTATTGGCTGTTTGTCTAACTTTTTTGGAGAAATGTCTATTCAGATCCTTTGCCCATTTTAAAATTGGGTTGTCTTGTTATTATTGAGTTGTAAAGACTCTTTATATATGTTTGGATACAAATTTCTTAGATGTATGATTTGCAACTATTTTCTCCCACTAGTGAGTTCTCTTTCACCTTGTTAGTGTCCTTTGAAGCACAAAAATATTTACTTTAATGAAGTTCAATTTATTTATTTATTCCCTTTTGTTGCTTTCCCTTTCTGAGCTTGTTTTTTTTGTTTGTTTGTTTTGTTTTGTTTTAATCCTCACCTGAGAATATATTTTTATTGATTTGAGAGAGAGAGAGGGAGGGGGAGGGGGGAAGGAAGAAGGAGGAGGAGAGAGAGGGAGAGGGAGAGAAACATTGATCAGTTGCCTCCCACATGCATCCCCACCGGGATCAAACTAGGAACCTGGGTTTGTACCCTGACTGGGAATCAAACCCGAGACCTTTGGGTGTAGGGGAGGATGCTTCAACCGACAGCCACCCGGCCGGGGCCTGAGCTTGTGTTTGAACCATAGGGACCTCAGCGCTGCAGCTCATCTCCCCACGCTGACTCCCTGCCGAGAGCCAGGGACCACTTAGTGCAGTGGTTCTCAACCTGTGGGTCGCGACCCCTTTGGGGGTCGAACGACCCTTTCACAGGGGTCGCCTAAGACCATCGGAAAACACATATATAATTACATAATTGTTTTGTGATTAATCACTATGCTTTAGTTATGTTCAATTTGTAACAATGAAATTGGGGGTCCCCACAACATGCGGAACTGTATTAAAGGGTCGCAGCATTAGGAAGGTTGAGAACCACTGACTTAGTGCTTATGAGCTTGGGCTCTGGAGCCAGACTGCTAGCACTCAAACCCGTTTAATCAGCTGTGACCTTGGGCAAGTCAAACATGCTGTGCCTCAGTTTGCTCATCTGTAAATTGGGAAAACAATGCCTTGTAGTGTTGTGAGGCTCAGATAAGGAAATTCAGGTAAAGTGTCCACGACATTGTGCGCACTGTGCATGCCGGCCTGTACATTATTGTGGCTTACAAAGGTGTTGTTATAGCTACAGTTCTGTGGCTGTTGTTGCTGGACAAGTACCTCCTGTGGTTACAAGCATCACTGTCACAGCTGTCGCAGCGGTACTATTGTGACTTTCAAGGTGAGCATCCTTCCATCCATTTGCCAGATGAGGCCACTCAGGCCCAGGAGCATGCCCCCTGCCCCCCCACCCCCCCATTCCTGGCACCTCTGACGTTTCTGCCCATTTCTTGTCCCCGCAGGTGCGGGGCGCCCGCCCCCCACTAGCCCCGGAGGAGGGGCTGTCCCCGCCAATGGGCCTGGCCGAGGCCCTGCGCCGCCTGAGCGGCACCCTGGAGTCGGGGTCCGGCGGGGCAGGCGACGAGGAGGCCGGGCTCGGGTTGTGCCGCAACGGATGGGCCCCGGCCCAGTCGCCACCAGCGGGGCGGCGCGGCGGGCGCTTCGTCAAGAAGGACGGCCACTGCAACGTGCGCTTCGTGAACCTGGGCGGCCAGGGCGCGCGCTACCTGAGCGACCTGTTCACCACGTGCGTGGACGTGCGCTGGCGCTGGATGTGCCTGCTCTTCTCCTGCTCCTTCCTCGCCTCCTGGCTGCTCTTCGGCCTGGCCTTCTGGCTCATCGCCTCGCTGCACGGCGACCTGGCCGCGCCGCCGCCGCCCGCGCCCTGCTTCTCCCACGTGGCCAGCTTCCTGGCCGCCTTCCTCTTCGCGCTGGAGACGCAGACGTCCATCGGCTACGGCGTGCGCAGCGTCACCGAGGAGTGCCCGGCCGCCGTGGCCGCCGTGGTGCTGCAGTGCATCGCCGGGCTGCGTCCTGGACGCCTTCGTCGTGGGCGCCGTCATGGCCAAGATGGCCAAGCCCAAGAAGCGCAACGAGACGCTCATCTTCAGCGAGAACGCCGTGGTGGCGCTGCGCGACCGCCGCCTCTGCCTCATGTGGCGCGTGAGGAACCTGCGCCGCAGCCACCTGGTCGAGGCCCACGTGCGCGTCCAGCTGTTGCAGGTGCGAGGCCGCGGCCCCAGGGAGGCAGGAAGGTGCACAGGGGGTGGGGGCCCCGGGGCATTGTGGGAGATGTAGGCCTGAGGGCGAGGCGTGCATTGGACGTGGAGGGTGCGTGGACTACAATTCCCAGCAGTCTCTCGGACAGGGACCCGCTTGCTCTGCTTGTGGCTGAAGTTTGAGTCCCGGGAGCAGTTGTAGGAGATGTAAACCTTAGACTTGAGACACAAAGAGCTTTCTGGGGTTTGAGGGCGCCCCCCCTATGGAATTGTGGGAAATCTAAACCTTGAGGGGCCTGTAAAGGCTCTGAACTCAGACTCCTCCGGGGCCTGGGAAAGGGCCTGGGTGAGGTGGTGTGGGGACTTGTAGTTTTGCGGGTGGTGTAAATCGCCGCTCAGGTCTCCAGTTCCAACAGCTATGACTTGAGGCCTGGCCCCTGTGGGGTTGTGGGAGATGTAGGTCCCAGGATGGGGTGCAGCTCACACCTAAGCAGCCGTGGAACACGATTCTTCATGACCTCTGGGCATGGGACCCTGCAGCCTTTGTTCCCCACCTCAGCGGCCCAGCCTCTCCCACCAGCCTCCTGCTGGGAGGGCTACAGAGCCTTGGTTGGGACACTCTTGAATTGTAGCTTCTTGGCAAAAAAACAAACAAACCAAACAACTCCCATTGGCTCCTGGGGTAGTGGCTCCCTCCAACGCTCTGCAAAAGGCGCTTTTTGCTTTCGTGTTTCTAGAATTGTGGTCAAACTGCCCAAATTCTGAGGCTAGCTGCCCTTGTCCAAGTAGACACTTGACCTTGGGCTGAGCTTGTACTTGGGTGAGAGGGAGAACAAGGTGGTGGTGGGAACTACAGCTCCCAGCAGCAACTGGGGTCTCCCGGAGACAGACAGGTGGGGGAGAATGGGCCCCACCTCCCACCTCTCTCTCCAGCTTGACTGAGACAGCAGGACTCATGACCTGGGAGGGATATTGTCTATCCCAGAAGCCTATGGGGTGCTGACATGGCCTGGGAGGTGGGTATGGAACCGATGGGTAGGTGGGGTGAAACTGCCAATACCTGGCCTATGGACTGCGTACCCTCCTCTGCATCACACACAGATACACAGGGGCTGCAGGGCTTGTAGTGGGGGTGGGGGTGGGTGTAGGGGTGGGAGTGCAGAGCGCCCAGGGGCTGGCATGGAGCAGCGGGCAACACAGGATATTGGACCTAGATTGTCATCCTGGTTTATCTCTCTCTGTTTACTGAAAGCCATTTTTCTTTTCCTCTTCTCCAATTACTGCTTGGATGTCATTCTTATCTTCTGTTTCTTTAACTTGGTCTCTGCTCTGCTGATTTCTGTGGCTCTGCCAACGTCACTCTGTCCCTCTCTTCCTCTCTCCCTTGCCTCTTCCTCGGGTTTCTATCCCCCAACCCCCCGAGTCTCTGTCCCTCTCTCTTTATCTCTGGGACTCTGTCCCCTCTTTCTCTGAGCCTCCATCTTCCTCTCCCTGGGCCTCATCCCCTTCTCTCTGGGTTCTTCTCCTCACCCCTCCCTCACCCCTCCCAGTCTCTACTCTTCTCTTTTTCTGCATGTCCATTGCTTTCTCTCATCATCTCTGTCTCCTCTCATCTCCCTGCATCTGTCTTGGGCCCCTTGTCTTTTGCTGCAGCCTCGGGTGACCCCCGAAGGGGAGTACATACCCCTGGACCACCGGGACGTGGACGTGGGCTTCGATGGCGGCACGGATCGCATCTTCCTGGTGTCTCCCATCACCATCGTGCACGAGATCGACTCCTCCAGTCCCCTCTATGAGCTGGGGCGTGCGGAGCTGGCCCGGGCCGACTTCGAGCTGGTGGTCATTCTCGAGGGCATGGTGGAGGCCACGGCTATGACCACGCAGTGTCGCTCTTCCTATCTCCCCGGCGAGCTGCTCTGGGGCCATCGTTTTGAGCCCGTCCTCTTCCAGCGTGGCTCCCAGTATGAGGTGGACTATCGCCACTTCCACCGCACTTACGAGGTCCCGGGGACCCCGGTCTGCAGCGCCAAGGAGCTGGATGAGCGGGCAGAGCGGGATTCCCACAGCCCCAAGTCGAGCTTCCCTGACTCGCTGACTGCATTTTGTTACGAGAATGAACTTGCTCTGAGTTGCTGCCGGGAGGAAGAGGAAGCCAAGGAGGGAGATGAGTCGGAGGCAGAAGAGGGGGCTGGCAGCCCCCGAGGACTCACCCCCACCCTGTCTCTGACCCTGCCCCCATGATGCCAGCTGGTGTTCCCCCATTTGTATCCCCTTCCCAGAGGTAGCAAAACGGAGAGCCCGGGCCCTCTCCTGGGACCGGCAGGCCTGCTGGGTAAATTATTAGCTGGTGAAGTTCTGCCTGCCTAGTGGACCCACCGTGGACACACTGGATCTTAATTCCTCTGTGTTGTGTGCTCCTGCCTGAGACCCCTGTATCGGCCTGATTCCTGAGTCTGACCAGAGCTAAGGGATCCAGGATCCTGGACCACCCAAGAGGCAAGGACTGGTGGTTCTAGATTCTTCTATATGGCTGGCGTGGGTTGTTGAGCAGGGTCCAGAATCAGTGACATAGACTGCTTCTGGGGGAGGAAGTCAGCAGTTCTCCAGCAGCGAGTGAGATCGAGAGTTTATAGGCCTGGATTGGTTTAATATTCAAGGGACTCTTGCGTCTTGGCTCAGCCAACCAGGAAGCAAGTCATCTTTTTCTAGACCGCCTCAGGAGGAAAAAGTATGGAACGCTCCAAGAATTCAGGACTAACTTGATGGACCTGGAATGTTGACTGCCAGTCAAGAAAAGACCTGTGATTCCAGAAAGCCCATGTTTTGAGATTGTTCATCTAGACCAGTGGTCGGCAAACTGCGGCTCGCGAGCCACATGCGGCTCTTTGGCCCCTTGAGTGTGGCTCTTCCACAAAATACCACCTGCGAGTGCGCACGTACAGTGCGATTGAAACTTCGTGGCCCATGCGCAGAAGTTGGTTTTCGGAAAGACGAAACAAGTATACAAGACGAGTGCGGATGGGAGAGTTGGAAGGGGTCGACCTCAGCGAACGTACCTCAATCAGATTGAGGATGTTATTAGCAAAGGCCAGCTTAGGAGCACCCTAATTAAGTTAATAACAATGTACCTACCTATATAGTTTAAGTTTAAAAAATTTGGCTCTCAAAAGGAATTTCAATCGTTGTACTGTTGATATTTGGCTCTGTTGACTAATGAGTTTGCCGACCACTGATCTAGACTGACCTTAGATAGTATAAGTACTCCAGAAACTAAAGAGTTGTGTTTCTAGAATGCACAAAACAATGGAGAGTCTGCTGGTCTAGGACTGCAGTGACAGATGGGGAGTTCTTGATATTAGATAACTCCAGGCCAGTGGCTACAGAACGTCAAAGCAAGGGGAGAATCGATGCTTCTAAATGACCCACAGGTGTGTTTTTTTAAAGTGCCATTCTAGAATGTCCAAAGGAGCCAAGATTCCGTGGCTCTGGATCGACCACAGAGTCAGGGAAGGAGTGGCGATCCTAGACGACTTCTTTGTGGTTCTGAAATGCCAAAAGGAACCAAGG